TCTTCCCTCCCCGCCGGTTGCCGCCGCCGCGATTCGCCGACGTCAAGCTTCCTCCGGCGAATCCGAGCCATTGGCTCGTCTCCCCTCGTCTCGTGCAACCACCCGGTGTGCTCGCTTTCGCCGGTATCGCCGTGGTTCGCTCCGCCGCTCGCCGCTGTTGTCCGCCGTCCGTTCCGGCCGGCGTCGTCATCTACCTCCCGCCGGCCCGCGTGGCAGCCACGTAGGCGCCACGTCGGCGCCAGCTCAGCCGAGGTCGGGACGGGCCGACCCCGGTCAGCCCCTCCCGTGCGCGCGTTCCACCTCGAGCCGTGAGGCTGCGTATGGGCCCGCCGCCCGCGCGCGCCCGCCCGCGCGCGTGCGCCACGTGCTCCCTCCGCACGGTGAGCCGAGCCGTTGACAAGCGGGTCCCACCCGGGACCGCGCACAGTGAGCCCGGTCCACCGGCCCTCTCTCTCCTCCCCTCCCGCGCGCGCGCACTTGGGCCGCCTTGGGCCGGCCGGCCCATTTAGCTCGGCCGGTCCGCTCCTTTTCCCTTGGGCCGCGCCCTAGTCGCCCGAGGAAAAGTCTATAATCCCTCCCTCTTTCATTTTCTTTTCTTTTTCTTTTCCAAAAAGGATTTAGTTAAATCATTTTTCCTTTAGACCAAAAATCCAATAATCTTAGAAATTCAATATCTTCCCAACCGTAAGTCCGTTTGACTCCGTTCAACTTCCAAAATTCCTCAAATCTCAAGATCTATCTAATGGCACGCTTAGAGGTCATTAATAGGGCTTTATTTTCGCCGTTTGTTGAGTTGTCCCGTTTCGCGTGTAGTTTCGGAGCCCGAAGACCCGCAGTGCGAGGATTTCGAGGATCAAGCTCCAGATCTCGAGCAAGGCAAGCCACCTTTGAACATCTTGAGCCTATATTTGAAATTTAATTATGTTGCTTGAAAAATATTATGCATTGATAGGATCGCACTAAACCTGTTGTCCCGTCTGCAAGGCAGACTGGCAGACCTACCTAATTTGTTGCATTTGATCCTTCCTTTGTTAATTACTACACCATGTCCCCTTGTAACCATCCAGTTGCGCCTCGATATTCGTGCACTCTGTGCGAGTATCGACGGTCGCCTTCAAACTTAAAATCTGAGTAACAACTTGGGTAAAACTGGAGTTTTACAAAAGACTTGGAAAACCCGACACCTGGGTCGGTGCTTGCGAACTAAATGAATTTCCAAAACCGCGGACCGGGGAACGTACTGGGTGTACGGTTTCCTGCTCTTGCACTTAAGGACCGTTTCCTTGGAATTTCATCCAAACATAAGACAAGTACGACCACATGGGTGGAATGGGACACCCCTGGCTGAGTAACTAGCTTATCAGGGGAGCCTTGATGCCGAGAGACATGTGGATTCGCCGGGGTGGTGTCGGGGAGGACCCCTGGGCTTCCTGGCACAGTATGGTCTGGGACCTAACCTGTTGTTGGTCTGGGACCCCTCTCGTCGGCATATGGTAAACCTGTGTCGGCTTTGAAAATGCCTTGTCATGAAAGCCTGGAGGTCTCCCGACGTGGCTGATCCCCTCGGGCTGGGTGATCCGGGTTAGTAATGTCGTGTGGGTAAAGTGTACCCCCTCTGCAGAGGTTAACAAACTGTTCGAACAGCCGTGCCCACGGTCATGGGCGGATGTGAGGTGATTCCTAGCGTAGTTTTGTTTGTCTACTGCTTGTGATATGGCTGTTGTGAAAAGGGGTTCGATGTTTGAAAGTTGTTGGCCCGGGTGGCCGTTTGAAAGTTGCTGGCCCGGGTGGCCGTTTGAAAAGTTGTTGGCCCGGGTGGCCGTTTGAAAAGCTGTTGGCCGGGTGCCAACCTTGTTTCAAAATCTAAAGACTGATACATTGCACATACTCCGACCGGACGAGACGCACTGTCTCATCCGTGTCGTTTGAGAAGCACTCACTTAGTTGTTTCAGAAAAGGTTTCAAATAAAATCAATTGCAAAAACACCAGCCTCTCCTTAAAGCCTGCATTAAACACTTATTTTCCCTGGCTTGCTGAGTACCCCCGTACTCACCCTTGCTCTATATAAATAATCTCCCCCCAGTTGCTGAAGAAGATGAAGCGGATCCAGCTCATGAGGAGTTCTTCCAGGAGCAAGCCGGCTACGATGAGTTTTAGGGTTTCGGCCTAGTTCCCAAGTCGCGCCTGTGATGTTTGGTCCCAGTCTTGGCTTCCGCTTCCCCTTTTGTAATGCAGTTGTGAGCTCGGGATCTGTCCGCAGCCCAACATGACTGTACCTCTACTCTATAATAAAGAGACCTCTGTTGCTGTGATATTCTGTCTCCCTGTGATACCAGCACTGTTTCCTGGGACTGGTATCGATTAACAGGTTAATTTGGAACGTCACGGGCTAGTTCCGGTCGGGACTGGTTCGGGGCGTGACATTACCCTTGAGCTAGTAAACCAGTAATTGTTTGGGCATATTATGGATAATTGTTTATAGGATGAATTATATGTTATGTATTCAAAGATAGCTTAGAACAAATTATCAAGTAATACTGAAGTATATCAACTCAAAAATCTTCATAAATCTTGATAAATTATCAACTCATAAATCTTGATATACGCGTAATCCATTAACTCAAAACAACATATCGTACTCCATGTACTAGGACAACTTAAGTGTCTCACTACTTAAAACAAGCATTTTTCTGTACTATCAAAACCTATTTTGCGTGGGGTTGAGCTGCACGTCTGCCCAGAAGTGTTTACGAAAATTGCTACTTTTCCATGCAGTTGGTGCACCCGTGTGTGAAAATCATGTGTGGGTGCTTATATCATCCGCACGCAATAATAAAAATCCAAAAAAAAAATCAAGACTTGAAACCCTAGCTAGGACCCATCTGCTGGCAATGTCATCGCTGCAGACCGCAGTCCGCCACCACTCGTCATCGTCGCCATCGCCATTGTCCGCCCTCGTTGTTGTCGCCAAGGCCGCCCTCCACACACCTCCATTTCCCCTTCGCAGCCCGATGGTGGTGCGGATTTGGCACCCGTCACACGGCCGGCGACGGCGGATACTTCCGTCACGGGGCAGGCGGTGGCGGATCGGCCTGTCATGGCACCATAGTCACCATCACTGCCACCAAGCCCACTGCTGCCCACCACCTCGAGGTCGCCGAGCTGGCCGCTGGCCGCTCAGGAGGGGAACTCGGTGAAGAGAGAGAGGAATGAGAGATAATATAAGGAGGATAGGAGGTGAGATATGAGAGAGAAGGTGAGACTTGAAGTGCTGAGAAAGAAAGGAGGAATTAAGTTAGACTTCTAGGTGGACCTTTAAGAGATTCTTCTGCAAAAATACATTTTCCAATATAGCCGTTTAAGAGTCTCGCTAGAAAAATAAGTCTACTTTCACAGTCAGACCTCTTAAGGAGTCTCTTATGAAAATGCATTTTTGTACGCCGCCCGTCAACATTCCCTGAAAAATGATTTTTTGCAGACGTGATCGTTCCGGTACATAGTAGTGTCTGTTTCGTTTAAAAAATAACTTAACTTAATTTTTTGTTCTTGCTTTCACGCTCTTGTCCTATCATTCTCCATATATATAAATCCATGTCCACATTATCTCAAAGAAAATTCCAATTTCACATAAGCACTGCACTTCTTGGAGATAAATTCCCTTCACCACCGTGACAGTTCATCCACGGACCAGCAAATTAAATTAAAGTGGAGCAAACCTCCATTGTACTTTTTCCCTCTTCTTCCATGCCAAACATTTGTCGCTGACACTCGATATTCTTTACGAGACAATCCTCCAACCCAATTGCAAACTAAATGGGGCTTTTTGGTAAATAAGTTCACAAGAAACAAACATCACTACTATAGAAATCGTTTTTCCATGCGACCAAGCCTAGTAGTTACAAGAGCCTCAGTAGCACCTGAGGTCCTAGGTTCGACTCCCCATGGGAGCGAATTTTTCAGGATTTAACGGCGTTGTGCTTTCAGTGGTAGGCGACGTACCCGTCAACAGTAAGGCGCCTGTGGTGACTTCGTCAATCTCTCCAGAATTTGTCGGCCCAGTCTTCGAAGATGCTCATAGGGGTAGGGTTTGCGTGCATGTGTTCATAGGGGTGAGTGTGTGTGCGTTGTGAGTGTCTGCGTTGTACTGTGTAATTCTAAAAAAAAGTGATTTTTGCATGCGGACGGGTGACCATCATGCACCAAAAGGTTTGCGAAAGTTGGATTTTTGCATGCAGGCAACACAAACCGCACGTGAAAATAAATACGGCAAAAAGAATTAAAATTTGAAAAAAAAATCCGAAACCCTAGCCCTCCACAGCCACTCCCGAGGGCGGCGCTGCTGTATCGGCCGCCCTCGCCACTTGCCATCGCTGCCCACCCTCGTCGTTGCCGAAGCCGCTGATCCCTAGGGCAGTGGATCTGCCCATCTCGAGGGAGGCTCCGTTGGATCCACCACCAGCCCTTGTCTTCGCCACAGCTGCTCCCTAGGATGGCGGATCTGCCCCTCCCGAGGGCGGCGCCGCCGGATCTGCCACCCTCGTCGCTTGCTGTTACCGCCCACCATCGTTGCTCGAGCACCCTACCGGTCGCTCCAGCGCCACTCCCGAGGACGGGTGTGGCGGATCAGAGTAAAACCGCAGCTAGTTACCGTATATTTAGAGTAAAATTTGTTTTTTTTTTGTAAGATGTAGAAGTTGAATTTTTACTTGCATGTTTGTGGAGTGATATATCACATGTTAATACACCTTCTCAATTTTTTTTTTCAAATTTTATCATAACCATTTGACTGATATACAAACAACGAGGGGATATCCCCTGGAGGGATCAAAATCCTCTTCCTAAATAAATAAATAGGGAAAATTATAACCATGCCATTATAATTTTGTAAAATTTAAGATATGTCATCCTGACCCACATGTCATTGACTCATGTGGGTCCTACATGTCATTGAGATACCGATGGCATATCTCAAACTTTAAAAAATTATAATGGCATATGGTTCCAAATTACCTAAATAAATAAGCTGTTCTGATGGTGACTTCTGCGAGTTTGAGCACAAATTAAAGAACTTATTACATCGTGGATATATAAATGTAGTAGCAAATCCTACATTTGGTTTCAACCAACTTTTAAACCGTAAGAAAACGAGTGCAAACATCAAACATTAACCCTGAACACGCAAATAAAATGCTCAATCGGAATACATATTTCAGGCTATTTTCGTTGATTTTATTCAATGACTGGCAGGTGAAACAGCTAGCTTTCTGCCTGGGGCAACGCCACATAAACGATCGGCAGCTTCTCCTCATCCACGACCTTACCCATTGTTTTCTTGAACAATTCTTCAGTGATATCTTCAGTTTCAGGTTCGAGGTCCTCATTCACTCTAGTGCTCTGCACAACGAACATGTCATGGCACTGCAAATACGGGGGTGCCGTCTCCTGTGCTTTCATGGTTACAGTGACATAGCAACTGGACCATGGTGCAATGGTTCCTTTGTTTGGTTGTGTGCTATACTTCTTTTGGTTTGCCTTTGTATTAAACGCGATGAAGTAATCCGTCTGGTTTGTTAGCTGCAGACAGCATGATATATCCTTCTTTACCTCGAAGGGGAATCGAAGCTCGCGGACAGGATCAAGCCCAACATATTTGGATTCAGAGCTTTTCTGCGAGGATGAAGTTCATTAGTAAGAATTAATTGAACGAGGCAGTTGGGCAGCAGATTGGAATTTATTAATGAAAAAAAACTAGACTTATATAGTCTGGATTGGGAAACTCTTTTAATCGGTTGACGGATGTCCTCTCCGTTTCTTCACATATCATACAAATGTGCATATACTCTCTCGGGTTAATAATACTTAGTTGTGTTTATGTTAAGGGTGATGCCAAACTTTTCAATTCATTGACTATAAATTATTTCTAAAATATTTCTCTACACCACATGTATAGGTTGGTCTTAAAAAAATACTTCAATAAAATCATATATTTATTTATATTTATATATAAATTATAATGTAAAATAGTGGTTAAATTTTTTTAAGTTGCCTTAAACAACAACTATTATCAACCTGGAGAGAGTATTTTTTTTTTAAAAAAATGACAAGATAGATTAATATGTGATATATCATTTCACAACCATAAAAACACATGCAAGTTTAAATTCAACTTCTTGTACTTAATAAAACAAAACTAGCTATGAGCACACCTATACTATACTAGTTTGAGTTAAACTTGAATGTTTGTTACGCTTCTAAAGGTCGAATTTAATTGGGGAAGTTTGTATAGTGATTTATCACTTATTAATCTATAATGTCCTGTCAATTTTTCCATAGCTATTCAGATATCATGTAATAGTGAGGGGGCATGGAACATATCCTATACACACAAGCTTCACGTACACACTAACTAGCAAATATCATCGAAAATTATATAAAAATTAGACATATACTTCCAATAGTATTACACCTATGTATGAAATCTTATTTTCAAATTTGTTATATTTTAGTCGTAACAAAAAGCTGACAGATTCTTACCTTTAAAACTGTGAGATTTTTCACTTTTTTTGTTACGGGTAAAATATAATGAAATTGAATATGAGACTTTGAAGATATGTAAAATACTATTAGGAGTAAATGTTTATTTTTTAGAATTTTTTATGATATTTGCTAATTGGTATGCACGGAGTGTCTATGGGAAAATTGTGTGCACATGATATGTTCCCATGGGACATTCTCTTCTATCCATTTCCGAGTGGAATACACTATCCATGTGTTGGTGATAAACTGATAATCCTTGTATATCTTGGTCGATCTCATAAATCCCTAGATATTAATTGTAAAATAAAAATAATTAATAGAAAAGAACATGCATGATACTCCCTACATAGTCTCTTAGTCGTCTTATTTTTAAATTGGTCAAATCAAACAAATCTAAAGGCAATTAATTACCAATAAGGTGCTTAACTTTCAATACAACAATCCATAAATGATTACAAAGTACAATATTGGTAGAAAGGTGGGGACATGCTAAAATTTACAAAGGGTAAGGCTGCTTTAGTTGCATCAAGTTCCCAACCCCATCTCCCTCGTTTTCCACGCGCACGCTTTTCAAACTGTTAAATAGTGCGTTTTTTGCAAAAAGTTTTTATAAGAAAGTTGCTTAAAAAATTAAATTAATCCATTTTTGGAAAAAAATTAACTGAAACTTAATTAATTACGTGCTAATGGACCGCTTCAACTTCCGTGCAAAGGGGATGGGTTCCCAACCTGAACAATCGAACACAGCCTAAGTCCATATTGTAGCCCCTTTAATTATTTGTAAAAAGCATTAGATTTTAGAATTATGAAAATAACTATTAAAACATATTTGTATTGCCATACAGCGTATTTGTCCAATTTCAATATATGTGGCGTTATTATAATAAAACAATCAATTTCGTCATTGAAGAGTGTTTTTCAGGCAAACAAGATTGTAAAAGGTTGTAATATGGACGTATTTATCCCTATTTGAAACGGCAAATCAAATGGAACATGCAACTGTCACTAAAGACACGTACGCTATAGTGAACTTGTTAAGTATATATGCTTTCTTTTCTAACATTTTTCATATGAACTGCAAAATGTAAAGTGCATGAATGAAAGCCTGAAAGATGCTCAATAAGTCAGGTAGGAAAAACAGAATTAGTCCATAGTCGTCGTACCTGGCCCAAAAGTGACTTGGGCTGACGCATAAACATGTTTTCAATCTCAGCATCTAACTCGTTCAGTTGATGGATTATATCATTTATCGCAGGCCTTTTGTCTCGGTTGGCCTCCACACATCTTAACGATAATTCAATACATTGTCTCACTGCGAGCATGTCTGCTTCGCGCGATGCATACCTCGATATTCCCTGCACTCTTTTGTTCCATTTTGCATATACCTGCGAAAGACATAATTTTCAAACACGCTCATAGAAAATTAAAGCACTTACGGAATGTATCACAAAATGTTTGAAATGAATATTAGTTTCAATGGTGTAGACATAAAAGAAATTTCTTACATAATCAACAAATTCTTGGGTGGACGACATGTCACAACACTGTCTGTAGCCGTCAATTCCAGCGATTATCTGTATAATTATGACGCCCAAACTGAATACGTCAAACTTCTTAGTGATTTTTCCTTGGTCTATGAATTCTGGTGGCATGTATCCTCTGCATGATACCATAAACATTGTGGAATTTGTTACGGAAACGTATTTTGCTCCTAAATACACTACCGCACAAAATAATATATCAATACGGCTGGTTCATAACCATCATCTCTTGCACTGTCAAATCAGCAATAATTTAAGTCATATGATTTTTCGCAAGAAATAGTCGTGTGAGTACTATTTTGACGTTTTGTGTTTTAAATTGATAGCTAGCCCAAATTGTAGTCGGCGGATTTGTGGAAAAAAACTTGTCTTACATACCCAATCTAATATATATATCTGGAAAAATAAGCATTGAGCAATAATGATAAGTTATCCGCAGTTCTTATTGAATTCTCGAGGTAAGAGGGCTACATACGAATTGTCTGCTTACCTTGTTCCATTCACAGTTTTCGTTATATGTGTTTTTGTCGATTCAAAGAGTCTGGACAAGCCAAAATCTGCAATTTTCGGTGCCATGTTCTCATCTAACAATATATTTTCGGGCTTTAAGTCCAGATGGTAAATAGGCTTTTCTTGTCCATTGTGAAGATAATTTAATCCCTCGCAAGCCCCTTTAATTATTCTGTACCTCGTGGTCCAGTCAAGTCCACCACCAGATTCATCTGCAAAATGTAAAAGGTGTTTTCACCGAGACTTAAACATGTAATCATTTCTTTGCACACTACTAAATTAATTAATTAGATGGTACGTACCAGAAATAAAATTTGCTAGGTTTCCACGCTTCAAATATTCGAAGCAGATAACTCGCTCACTTATTTCAGCATAAGTAAGTTTGCCATTATATTCAACAACTTTATTTTTCGTTTCATAGCAGTAGCCAATTAATTTCACAATATTTTGATGCTGGACAGACATAAGGTTAAGAGATTCATTTTTGAATACCGTATCATTGAGTCCCGGCAACAAATTAAGTTTCTTCACAGCAATCTCCTTCCCATTATGTACTCCCTGTTCATTTTTTCATACAAATTATGTTTTAATCACGAAATTATCATCCATATATAGAAAAAAACACCCATTAATATTTAATACTGATGCATACTATTGCATAGTTTCCACATGTCAGTGAGCTATTTACTTGCGCCTGTTCTGTATCTTGTCACACTCGCTCGCCCTATTGCCCATCCAAGATGTCTTATGGATGAGCTCATATTTTTGCCATTGCAGTTTCGCTAGTTCAGTTGTTGAACTCTAAATTCATGTGCTTAATCATTCATATGCGATTAACTTGCAATCTACCTTGTGTTCTTCAATTCCCATTTAGGGATTAACCTTCTCAACAAGATCAATCGAGCAACAAACGATTGATAACCAGAGAAGATATGGTGCTGTGATTGCAAGGTTCAGATTGTGTTGATTGAAAACCGGATCGTTGGTGTCAATTTTCACAAAATCAAGAGTTATTAATACCTATCAAAAATCATGATCAAGGTCCTCATCATGTGGTCCGACCAGGCGCAAGCAGATGGAGAAGATGTGGCGTACAAAGAGAGAGGAGGAAGGGAGGAGATGTGATACAAGACTGTGACTACCAGGTGGAGTTTATCAACATACTAAAATACTTTGTAAATTGGAATGCCGCACAAAACACCACAGTAGTTTAGGCCAAGGAGAGAAAAATTGAACGGTGTTACTCCCTTTGTCTTTGTCCACGTATATACAATATAAGTATTTGTAAAATCTAAATCGAGAGGCTCGTTTTAGTCGTAATCAGTGACGGCATAAAATAACTTAAAGAATCTTACCTAGCTATAGTACTAGTCCATCAAGCATGTAGAAAATATATTTCTACCATCTATGCTTCAAATAATTTTTTTTAAAATTACTCATCCGATCTACGATCTAATTACCGTTGTGTTCATAACAATTAAATATTTATAACAATATCTCACAAGATTACATTTTTATATAATATTACAAATTACTTTTATAATATATCTAAATTACTTTTAGATTTCATTAAATTATTTCTTAGACATATAAAAGTAAATTTAATAAAGCCTAAAACTAATTTATATATATCATAGAAATATTATAGAGGTAACTTAAATCAAATTGAAAGTATCTTGTCATGACACTAAAAGTAAATCTATTGTAGGAGTAAAAACATCAGTCTATCCAAAGAGTAAATTGTTCATTGAATGTCTAAAATATAATTTAATCAAATCCAAAAGTAATTTATATATGTGATAAAAGTAACTTACATATATAATAAAAGTAATTTACAACATAAATATTTTTTATTAGAAAAAAAGTACGAATTTCCCCCCAACTATCGTGGTCGACCGAATTACCCCCTAAACCTAACAACTAGTCATCGTTCACCCTGAACTTTCAACACCGGACAAATTACCCTCCCTCAAGCCAATCCAGAGCGGTTTTTTCCAACGTGACGTAGACATGGCAATCCAGTAAGTATTTTATTTATTAAAAAAATATAGGACCAACCTGTCATACTCCTCTTTCCCTCCTCTCTCTCTCTCTTTTCTCTCTCTCTCTCTTGCTCTTCCTTTCTCTCGCGCTGCACGCACGGCGGCGCGGGGACGGGCTGTGGGCGTGGGCGGTCGGCAAGAACGGCATAGACGGCGGCGTGCACGGCGGCAGGCAGGCATTCGGCGAGGTAGATGGCCGAGACGAGGCCCATGAGAGCGACGGACAACCACCACAGGACGTTGTTGACGTCGAGGCTGTTGTGGAGGAACGCCGTGGAGGGATCCGACGCCACCGTCTTCCACAGCATCGCCTGGCTGCTCATCGTCTGGCTGGCTCTCGTCCTCGGGAAGCACCGGCACCTCTATCGCTTGCACGAACTCACGCCGACATCGTCGTCGTCCTCATATTAGTCATTACAATGGCAAGAAATTTTGAGCTAGCTAAGGTTTAGAAGCGACGTGGTTGATTGTGTACGTACTCGGAGGGTGTCGAGCTCGGGGCCCTCGAGCGCGGCGAAGTAGCGGTCAACGGTGGGCACCTCGCCGCCGTCGACCTCCTCCTCGGAGATCTTCGAGTCTGCCGTCTCGATATCGGCAACTCCTACGGCAGCATCCCGCGGAGGCTGGACTGGAGAACTGGCGCTCGAGGTAGCCGGAGAAGGTCTTGAACTGGTCGAACCGCCGGTCCCGCGTGCTGTCGCTCCGGGGCACCGGCGCCGCCTCGTCGTCGGCTCGTCCCCTGATCACCGTCAAGGTCGGCTCCGAGTGGAACCTCGCCTGCTGCCTCAGCATCTGCGCCAGCGGCAGCTGGACGCGCCGAGCTGTATCCCCGAAGGCGACGGCAGCACGCTGAAGGAGACGGAGTACGGCGTGTCGATATCTCCTCCGCCGGCTGCGCATCGGCATCATGCGATGGGACTCGAACGACAAGCGGTTGGTTCACCGCAGTCTGGGAGGGAGCAGCAACGGCGCGGGACACAGAGGCGGCAGCAGCGAATTAACTCCACCTCTGGGAGGGAGAAACGGTGGCGCGGGACGCAGAGGGGAAGGTCCAGTCTTCTTCGCCGTCGAGATGGTGCTCGGGATGGGGGCGGTGGCTGGTGGCGAAGGAGGCTGGAAGCGGGGCTCGGGATAAGGATGGCGGGCGATGGTGGATGCAGCTGGAGGTGGGGCTCGGGATGGGGGCGGCGGCCTGTGGCGCAGGCAGCGGCTGGAGGCGGAGGTGGAGTTCGCCGCCGCTGCCTCTGTGTCCCGCGCGGTCGCCACCTCCGTGTCCCACGCGGTCGCCGCCTCCGTGTCCCTCACCGCCGTTGCTCCCTTCCGGACCACGGCGCCAAACGCCTGCCTGCCGCCGTGCCGTGCGTGCCGCCCTGAGCGCCGACGTCCACACCGTCCTCGCCGACCGCCCACGCCCATCGCCCTTCCCCGCGCTGTCCTCGCCAACCGCCCATGCCCACCGCCCGTCCTCGTCATGCACGCTGCGCTAGAGAGAGGAAGAGCGAGAGAGACAAGAGAGAGAGGAGGAGTGGAAGAGGAGTATAACAGGTGGGTCCCACATTTTTTAATTAAATAAAATGCTAACTGGATTGCCACGCGTGCACCACGTTAGACAAAACCGCTCTAGATTGGGTCAGGGGGGGTATTTGTCCAGTATTGAAAATTCAGGGTAAATGATGACTGGTTTTTGGGTTTAGAGGGTAATTCGGTCGACCGCGATAGTTCGGGAGTAATAATTCATACTTTTTTTCCTTTTTATTATAATATAATCATGTAAAATTGTGTTATAAATATTTAATTGCAACAAACACATTTGTGTAACCGGATTATAAATTGGATAAATATTTTAAGAGAAAATTTTATTTGAGTTTTAGATAATAGAAAGTAGGGGGGACTGTGACAAAAAAGTAACAAATGAAATTGGAAAATTGAGAGGTCTCGCTTTAAGATTAACGCGCTACTGTGCGCTAGGGATGTAAAAAAGCTCAAGGCTCACGAGCAGCTCGGCTCGCTATAGACTCGTCTTGAGCTCGATTCGTCATTAATTCGAACTAAGCTCAAGCTTAGCTTCAAACTCACGAGCTTCACGAGCCGAGCTCGAATAGCTCGTCGAGCCTAGAGTTCTCTCCGTTTCTTTTGAGCTGGCATTACTCTCCCTCCAGTTCTTTCAAATTTTCCATGCAACAGCTAGAAGCAGTGCTAGTCTACTAGTAGAGTAGTAGTACTTGATTCATCTCCCAAGAAAAAGCTGAAGAAAAGCAGAGCATGGCGTGGAGGCAGGCCCTAGTCTCTGCTAGTACTACTAGTACCTAGCCTCTACTAGTACTAGGGTGTGTTAAAATTAGAAGTTTTATTGAAATTAGAATGATGTTACGGAAAAGTTAAAAGTTTATGTATGTAGGAAAGTTTTGATGTGATGAAAAAGTTGAAAGTTTGAAGAAAAATTTTGCATCTAAACTCGGCCCTACTAGTACAAGCATGCATGCAACCCAGCTTCATGCCTCCATTTAATGCTACTACTACTATTGGTTATATAATGTTTAAAAACGATAGTACTACAAATCTAATACTGCCACATTAGTTAAGCTCGACAAAGCTCGAGGCTTTAGTGAGCTGAGCTCGAGCCCAAGCTCGTATCTAAACCAAGCTCGACTCGAGCTTGAGCGACACGTCCATAAGTATTATATTTATAGTGTTTTAAATTTGTCCACAAATAAAAAATATTCATAGATCTATGCTACTTAGCTCTTGTTTAGTTCCCAATTTTTTCTTCAAACTTTCAACTTTTCCATCACATCAAAGCTTTTCGACACACATAAACTTTCAACTTTTTTCTTCAAACTTTCAATTTTAGTTAAACTTCCAATTTTGGCGTGGAACTAAAAACACCCTATCTGTATTTATTGTTACATCACTCGACATTATCTTTTTCAATCAGGTAAACTTCTAGACGTATCAAAGTTGATATGCTTATATTATTTTGTTAGATGGAGTAATAGTCAGTGGTTAATACCTCCTATAGTCTAGGGTTGTTTTTATTTAACATGGTTTAGGCGTCGAATGATATCCTATTGCAAAATAGAAAACCAAAAAGTTGAACTTATAGAACATACCTTGTAAACTTTTCCATACCCACCCTCACCAATTTTTTGCTTGTCAGAAAATTTATTGGTAATTTCTTCTATCAAATGGAATGTAAACTCCATAATGATATGTCTCTCCTAGCAGGTGTGCCTTTGATGTTACTTTTCCCGCCTACAGACAATCTGTAACGTCAGCCGAAAGTCCAACTTCTATATATTTCACTGGTAACAGGTAAACCAGGGTTCGGTATGTTATGAACGACGTATAGAAATACAAAGTAAACGAAAAACAATCACAGCGGAGACACACGATTTAACGTGGAAAACCCCTTTAATGCGAAAGGGGAAAAAACCACGGGCACCAGCCAGCAACAATCTCACTATCTCAAGAGTTTTGGGTTACACGCCTATGGCGGCTTACAAGAGAATCAAGTCTCTACGAAACCCTAGCAAAGGGCATATATACCGGCCCAAGCCTCCGGCTTGGGCCTCCGCTCCGCTTCGTCAGAAGCCCGGCCAATATCTTGAAGTGAATTTGGAACAACTCCAACAAACTCCACCTTAAGACAAATTCTTCTTGTATCATAAATCAACCAATCATCTTGAACAACAAAGATAGAAAACCACTGGTGCCAACAATAGTCTCTTGGACTATTCAATTAAACCAACTAAGCTTGAGCACAACTCAAACTTAGCAACAGGAATAGGCTTTGTCATCATATCAGCAGGATTATCATGAGTACTAATCTTGCATACCTTCAGCTTACCTTCTTCAATCACATCACGCACAAAATGATACTTGATATCTATGTGCTTAGTTCTCTCATGGAACATCTGATCTTTAGTGAGGTAAATTGCACTTTCACTATCACAATGCAAACTTATGCAAGATTCAACTCCACTGAGCTCAGCGTACAAACCTTTTAGCCAAATCAACTCTTTGCATGCTTCACAAATAGCCATATATTCTGCCTCAGTAGTAGACAAAGCAACAACAGACTGTAAAGTAGCCCTCCAACTCACAGCACAACTGCCAATAGTAAACACATAACCAGTAAGTGATCTTCGCCTGTCCAGATCAGCAGCATAATCAGAATCCACATATCCAATAAGGCCCTTATCAGTTCTTCCAAACTTCAAACATGAATATGTTGTGCCTCTGAGGTACCTGAAAATCCACTGAACTGCCCTCCAATGTTCTTTGCCAGGATTAGACATATATCTACTAACAAGACTCATAGCATATGACAAATCTGGACGAGAGCAAACCATGGCATACATCAAAGACCCAACAGCACTAGAATAAGGAACCCTTGACATGTACTCAATCTCTGCATCTATACTAGGACACTGAGCAGCTGACAACTTAAAGTGGGGTGCAATAGGGGTACTAACAGCCTTAGCATTTTGCATGTTGAAACGCTGAAGAACTTTCTTGATATAATTATGTTGACTAAGAAATAGCAAACCAGATTTTCTGTCTCTACTAATTTCCATACCAAGAATTTTCTTAGCACTACCAAGATCTTTCATATCAAACTCACTACTCAACAGCTTCTTTAACTTAGTGATTTCAATCTTACTCTTGGCAGCAATCAGCATATCATCAACATATAACAGCAAATATATAGGTGATCCATTAACATGCTTGATGTAAACACAGCTATCATATTTAGATCTTTTAAAACTGTGTGACAACATAAATGAATCAAACCTCTTGTTCCACTGACGAGGGGACTGTTTCAAACCATACAAGGATCGCTTCAACTTGCACACATATTTTTCCTTGCCAGGCACTATGAACCCTTCCGGTTGGTCCATGTATATGTCCTCCTCAAGCTCTCCATGCAAAAACGCAGTCTTCACATCTAACTGCTCAAGCTCAAGATCATGTGAAGCAACAATACTAAGAAAAGTACGAATTGAACTGTGTTTTACCACTGGAGAGAACACATCATTATAGTCAACACCCGGAATTTGACTGTAACCTCTAGCAACTAACCTTGCCTTATACTTTGGAGGCTCGCTTGAAGATAAACCCTCCTTTCTCTTGAAGATCCACTTGCAACTGATGGTCTTCTTTTTCTTAGGCAAGGGTACAACCTCCCATGTACTGTTCTTCTCAAGAGACTGCATCTCCTCATGCATAGCAGAAATCCAATTCTCACTATCACCACAACGAACAGCTTCTTTATAGGTTGCTGGCTCATGAACATTCTCCACCTGTTCAGCACAACTCAAAGCATAGTAAGACAAATTACACTCTTCAATAAGACGTTTGGGAGGTTTTGTTGTCCTTTTTGACTTGCGTTGAGCAATAGGTAATTCCTCCTCTAGCTGCAAAATAGGAGGAGTTTGCTGAACATCATCATGAGCATCATCATCAGCAACATCATTATTATGGTCATCCTGCTCATGAACAGGCTCCACCTGAACACCTGTATCATCATCAACATGCTCCACCTGCATGTGCATACGCTGCAACTCTTTTTCTGGAACATGTTCTGAGGGCAAACTGTTAGTAAACATCACAGATTCATTGAATACAACACTCCTGCTCATAAAAGTCTTCCCAGTTTCAGGATTCCACAATTTATAGCCTTTGACTCCCGAACCATAACCAAGGAAAAGACACTTAACAGCTCTAGGCTCTAATTTTCCATTGTCAACATGAGCATAAGCAGTGCATCCAAAAACTTTTAACTGTGAATAATCAGCAGGCGTACCAGACCATACCTCAATAGGAGTTTTCTTATTTAGTGGAATAGAAGGAGACCTGTTTATCAAATAACAGGCAGTACTTGCAGCTTCAGCCCAGAAACGCTTGTTCATCCTTGCATGAGACAGCATACAACGGGCCCTGGATATAATGGTCCTGTTCATACGTTCGGCCACACCATTCTGTTGTGGAGTATGGGGTATGGTGTGATGCCTAACAATGCCTTCCTGTCTGCAATAATCATTAAAGGCATGCGAACAAAATTCTCCACCATTATCAGTACGAAGCAATTTTACCTTCCTTTCAGTTTGCCTTTCAATCATTACTTTCCAGTTCTTAAAAGCAGTAAAGGTATCATCTTTATGTTTCAAAAAATAAGGCCAAACCTTTCTAGAGTAATCATCAATAATTGTAAGCATATAACGAGCACCACCAAGTGAGGGCTTCTTAGAAGGACCCCATAAATCAGCATGAACATAATCAAGAGTACCTTTGGTGGTGTGAACAGAAGTGTTGAACTGTACCCTTTTATGCTTGCCGAAAATACAATGCTCACAAAACTTGATCTTACTCGAAGTGCAGCCCTTCAGCAGGTTTCTCTTCATCAATTCTGTCATACCAAGGTGACTCATATGTCCCAAACGCATGTGCCAAAGGTTAGTCTTACTAGGTTCATCATTAGTAATAGCAGCAGCAGCGGAATCAGAACCAGTTAAAGTACACCCTCTAAGGACATATAACTTTGCAGAATTAACATCACCTTTCAAACAAACAAGAGAACCTTTTGATACCTTTAGAACGCCATCTGAACCGGAATATTTGTAACCTTCTGCATCAAGCGTGCTCAATGAAATAAGATTTCTGGACATCCCTGGTATATACCTCACATTTTTCAGCGTGCGTGTCATGCCATCATCAGTCTTGATCTGAACTGATCCAATCCCCACGATAGCACATGGGTTATCATCTCCCATCCGCACAACATCCCCTTTCTGCACAGGCTTGTAAGAACTAAACCAATTTCTTTTAGTGCAAATATGAAACGAACATGCGGAATCAAGAATCCATTCATCATGACCAGCAACACAACCAGCAAATACTACCAGACAATCACCAGAATCATCATCAGAAGCAGCAGCAGAAGCAACAGAGACCTTACCATCCTTTTTGTTTTTCCTTTCCTTAGCCTGGACCTTCTTGCACTCATCAATATTATGATTTTTCAGCTTGCAATAAACACAGAACTTTTTATTACCAGGCGGCTTGGACTTTGAACGGCCTCTCCTATCGTAGTTCTTTTCATTTGAGGTTCTGTTTTCAGTTCTGCCTCTCACATGCAAAGCTTCGCCCTTTGAGGACGACGACCCGTCATTCTGCACCATAATTTTCATCTTCTCCTTGTTTTGGAGAGCATCATAAACTTCCTTTAGGGTTAGTTCATCACGGCTCAAAAGTATGGTGTCACGGAAATTTGCATATGAATTTGGCAAAGAACATAACAGTAGAAGACCTAAGTCCTCATCATCATACTTCACCTCCATCGACACTAGGTCGGCCACGATCTTCTTGAATTCAGCCATGTGGGTGATCACCGAATCCTCCTCCTTCATCTTCAGAGTGAACAGCTTCATCTTCATCTGCATCTTACTGGTTAGATCCTTGGACATACAGATCGATTCCAGCTTCAGCCATAGTTCTGCAGAAGTTTTCTCTGTCAAACACTCCTGCAAAATATCATTATGAAGATGCAACTGAATTAGGGCGAGCGCCTTCTGATCCTTGCGGATCTCCTCAGCAGTCCACTCGGCCCTCCTCTTGCCGAAGTTATCCAGTGCCTCATCATAGTCATGAGTCTGCGCCAGAATCCCCCGCATCTTGACTTGCCATAGCGAGAACCGCGTGTCGTAGTTCAGCAGCGGAAGATCGAACTTCATCGACGTCGTCATGAACCCTAACAGCAACCAAAGCTCTGATACCACTTGTTATGAACGACGTATAGAAATACAAAGTAAACGAAAAACAATCACAGCGGAGACACACGATTTAACGTGGAAAACCCCTTTAATGCGAAAGGGGAAAAAACCACGGGCACCAGCCAGCAACAATCTCACTATCTCAAGAGTTTTGGGTTACACGCCTATGGCGGCTTACAAGAGAATCAAGTCTCCACGAAACCCTAGCAAAGGGCATATATACCCTCCGGCTTGGGCCTCCGCTCCGCTTCGTCAGAAGCCCGGCCAATATCTTGAAGTGAATTTGGAACAACTCCAACACGGTACTATGAAAGAAAAAAAAATTTCCTTAGGACTGAAACTTCCGAAATTTCACAAAAAAACTAATATCTAGGGGAAGAACTATTAATTTACAAAACAAAAAA